AAAAAAAAAAAAAAAAAAAAAAAAAAAAAAAAAAAAGAAGAAGAAGCTTGGGCTTTGCTGGGCGTTGGTGGTGCACACTTTTAATCCCAGCACTCCAGAGGCAGAGGCAGGCGGATCTCTGTGAGTTTAAGGCCAGCCTGGTCTCCAGAGCGAGTGCCAGGATAGGCTCCAAAGCTACACAGAGAAACCCTGTCTCGAAAAACAAAAAAAACGAAAACAAAAACAAAAACAAACAAACAAAAAAAAGTTAAAGCGGGGCCAGGGAAACCTGAGTCCAAACCCTAGAACCCAAGTTGTTGTTGTTGTTTTTTGTTTGTTTTTCAAATTTTATTTGAATTAGAAACAAGATTGTTTTACATGACAATCCCAGTTCCCTTCTCCTTCCCATCCTCCCCTACCTGCCCCCCAACTAAAAATCCTACCTATCACATGCCCTTTCTGCTCCCCCTGGATGGTGAGGCCTTCCATAAGGGGCCATCAGAGTCTATCGTATCCTTTGGCATAGGGCCTAGGCCCACCTCTGTGTCTTGTTCAGGGAGTATTCCTCTATGTGGAATGGGCTCCCAAAGTCCACACCTATCCTAGGGATAAGTACTGAACTACTACAGGAGATCCTGTAGATTTCCAAGGTTTCCTCAACGAAATCCATGTTCCTGGGGAACATGGATCAGTTCCATGCTGGTATCTCAACTATCAGTCTGGGGAGCAAGAGTTCCCCGATGTTCAGGTCAATTGCTTCTGTGGGTTTCTCCAGCCTGGTCTGGACCCTTTTGCTCTTCACTTGTCCTTCTTTGCATCTGGGTTCCAGTTCAGTTCAGTGATAAGTTGTGGGTGTCTGCTTCTACTTCTACCAGCTACTGGATGAGGGCTATAAGTCAGTCATCAATCTCATTATCAGGGGAGGGCATTTAAGCTAGCCTCTCCTCTGTTGCTTAGATTGTTAACTGGTGTCATCTTTGTAGATCTCCGGACATTTCTATAGAGCCTGATTTCTCTGTAAACCTAAAATGTCTCTGTTATGGTGTCTCCATTCTTATCTTCTATTCTTCCCGACTCAACCTTTCTGCTCCCTCATGACCTCTGCATCTTTCCTCTTCCCTTCTCATTCTCGTAGCTCCCTCCCCCTTCTTCCTGTGCTCTCAATTTGCTCAGGGGATCTTGACCCTTTTTGCTTCTCCAGGGGACCATGTATTTCTCTCTTAGGGTTCTCCTTGTTTACTAGCTTCTCTGGCAGCGTTGTTTGTTTTTTGGTTTTTCGAGACAGGGTTTCTCTGTGTAGCTTTGGAGCCTATCCTAGCACTCGCTCCAAAAACCAGGCTGGCCTCGAACTCACAGACCTGTCTCTGCCTCCCATGTGCTGGGATTAAAGGCTTGTGCCACCAATGCCCGGCCTGTTTGTTTTTAAAAGGCTAGATAGGGCTGGACAGATGCCTCAGTGGTCACGGTCATCTGTAACTCCAGCTCTTGGGGGATCTGATGCCCTCTTCTGGATCCCTGAAACTTAAGTTACAGTTATGAGCTGCCATATAGGTGCTAGAAACCCAACCCAGGTCCTCTGGAAGAACAAGTATCCTTAAGCACTGAGCCATGGCTCCAGCCCCACCTGGTGGGGATTTTAGGAAACTGCACATTCTCATGGGTTTTTTATAGCTGGCAATGCTTTTTAAGCTGGGCACTTAAAAAGCATTTTCTCCCTAGTATACAAAATAAAGAGGAGGTGATGTAAGAGATCGGACTGAAATCCATGGTCCCTGACTTCCTGTCCACCAACCCTTTCTCAATGTAAGAGAATGGAGCCAAAATGTCTCCACTTCACAAAGCCATATGTAGTTGTGTTGGGGGGCGGGGGGCGTGTATCCCTGTAGGTATCACAGTCCTTAGGTGTAAAGAAACCTCCAGGAGGTGAGAATGAAAAGAGCTGCACTTAGTCAAACTAGATCAAAACTTCTAAGGCAGTGGTTCTCAACCTGTCATGATGCATTTGGGAGTCACATAGCAGATATTTCTATTACAATTCATAACAGCAGTAAAATTAGTTATGAAGTAGGAGCAAAATAATTTGATGGTTGAGGGTCACCACATGAGGAACTGTATAAAAGGGTAGCACTCTTGGGGAGGTTGAGAACCACTGATCTAGAGTCTGATCCCATGGTTTAATTTCCTTACACATAGAAACACAGTAAAACTGGGGGGTGGGGGGTGGAGTCTCCACCTGACAATTCTCCTAACAAAGCTTCCGGGGTGGCTTCATCGAAATTCCCTTGCAAAATATAGCACAGCACCTGAGAATATTGAGAAACAGTGCTCAGGGCTAGGGCCTAGAGGAAGGGCTTGTAATAAGCGCAAGGATGGATTCTGTTGGAGGTTGCAAAGTACACGGAGCAGCATGTACTTGCTCCTAGAACAGCAAAGGATCACCAGTTTTTTTTTTTTTTTTTTTTTCCACTTTCACTGCAGTCTTCCAGGTTACCAAGCTCATTCTTCCTTCACTGAGGAAAGCAGGACTTAAGAGCCAGGGTCTTTCTGGGGACTATTTTTGGGACACAAGTTAATTGGGTTACTATCAGTTACTGTTCTCCAGAGAAACAGATGCAATCAGATGTGTTACAGAATCTACTTAATAAGGTATATGTTAGTAACTCTTACTGAAGCAGTGTATGGAAGCAAAGACCAATTGTTAGATGCTGATTGTATTGTTTTAGTAAATTTAAAGCATTGTTTTTGCTGCCTATTTGCCAAGCACGACCTCACTTGCTACCTAAACAGAATGACCTGGAGAAATAGGCGAAACAATAGTTGTTGCTTTACAACCTGCTGACTGCTTATATTTCATCTTGCTTGCCTGCCTACCTTTTCTTTGGTTTCAGAGTAATGCCAATTGCACCCAATCCCAAGGCCTTTCCACTGTCCTGGCTTCGGTCCACCAGTGACATCTCAATGGTGTTGGAGTGCTTATTCCAGAAAGATTCTGGCAACATTACCAATGAGAAAACGAAGGGGCAGAAAATGGCTAATCTGGCAAAAGCCTGGTAAACAGAGCTGAATGCCCAGGATCTATGTAAAGGAGGGAGAAATGAATTCAGGTGGCCTCTAACCTCCCTCCATACCCTGGCACTCACACACGAAATACATTCTTTTAATTTCTAAATACTAGTTTGCTTTCCACCACTTGGACAACACCTAAGACAATCAGCTTACTAAACTAAAGGGTTATTGGCTCTTAGGTTCATAAGCTGTTGGCTCTGTGATGTTTATTTTCAAGGAGATACCAGCAGATGTCAGCAGGAACTAAGGTGTCACATGCATTTTCAGTAAGCACAGTAATCCTTCACAGGGTGACCATAGCTTAAGTGGGAAGTACACCGTAAAGGCCAGTCCAGAGAAGACACCCCCTTGTTCTGCACTGTCAACAAACTTTTAATTACCTCTTTGGAGGTGGGAGGAGCGTGAGTACAGAGACTGGAATATACATTTCTTGGCAGTAAAACTTTTCCAAAGGCTCAAATATTCATGTTAAACAACCAACAAACAAAAATCCATGCCAAACAACAGGTATTCTTTTCAGTGGCAAGATGGCTCAGTGGATAAAGTGCTTGCTGCTCATGGGAGGATGGGTTTGGACCCCAACACCCACCTGTAATGATAGAGCTCAGGTTGACCCCCTGCAGAGGCTGCCTAGTATCAAAAGGCTGCAGGGCCAGCTCATCACCCAGCCACAGTAAATAAAGTGGCAAGAAATTGAGACATCCAAGTCAATCTTGGGCCTGCATACTCACACACACACATCCACACATTAACACGTGTGTGCTTGCATGTTCGAAAACACACTTTAAAAAAATGAACTGCAAGCCTGATTATTTCTAAAATATAGTCTTTATTAGTTTACTCAAGATCAGACATACATTTATCTATAAACACTGCAATATGCTCGTGCTTGGTTCCTAAATGGACAAAGAACAAACAGCAAAATATTAAGAAGTTTCCACTTGGAAAAAGTTATTACTGTTCATAAAATTATCTGTTCAAAGGAATGCTGAAATATAGACATTTTCTATAAAGTCTTTTCTCCATTAGAAATATACTCCCACTGTAAGCAAAAAGAAATGTCTACCTACAACTTAGCAGTGTGTTAAAACATGCATGTCAATTCAAGAAGGCTGAGGTAATGAGACTACAGAGCTCCAAGGCCAGCCTGTGCTATACGGTAAGGTCCTGCTGCAAGGAAAACAAAACATAGAAAATTCTCTCTGAAGAGCATAAACACGGTAGAGTCCTGATTCACATTTAGGAGCCAAAAAAGAAACAAGAAAACAAAAATGACTAAAACCAAATGATCCTAGGGAATGGGTTAAGACTGGAGTCTACCTATACCCCTACAAAATATTTCCTTAATTCAAAATAAACAATTCTGCCTTTTAATTTAAAAAATGTAGTCAAAAACTTTATTGATTCTGCTCAGATGAAATTCAGATCCAAGACCTAATCAGCTACTGATACCTGGGCCAAATAGTACAGTCAACTCCAAGTTGAAAATGGCATTTTATCAAAGAAAAACCAGTGAGTGTAAAGATAAAAAAAAAAAAAAAGGGCAAAAATGGTATTCTAATGGTCAACTCAAAGTGAGTACATAAATTTAGTTGCAATGCTACAAAATATTTTAAATGCTGTTAACAGTTTAATTGAGGTAGTGTATTAAGGAACAACAGAACCTTGGTTTAGTGGTTGTCTTGTAAGTGACAGGAACCTTCCAAAGGCTTTAGTTATGACACCTGGAGACACTCCTCACGCCCTACAAACACCCATAGACTTCTCCCCAAGATTCAATCAATATCCAGAAACTTTATTTCTATTCCATAAGTTCTAGTTTCTCTTTTTTTTTTTTCCATCACCTCCTGAAGGGACATTTTTAGAACTCTCAATCTTCACTGTTTGGGTATATAAACAGCACAAAAATAATGCTGTGATTATGTGAATAAAAAAATAGTACCATAGGCCCATACATTTTAATCACCAGGGAGTGGTACTATTTGCTAAGGATTAGGAGGCGTGGCATTGTTGGAAGAAGTGTGTCACTGGAGATGAGCTTTGAGGTTTCAAAAGCCCATGTCAGGCCCAGTCGCTCTCTGCCTGTACATAAGGGCATAGAGGTCTCAGACTGCTCTAATGTCTGTCTGCATGCCACCTCCCTCTCTGTCATGATAACGGACTAAGCCTCTGAACTGTAAGCAAGCCACAATAAAATGTTTTTGTAAGAATTATCTTGGTCACGGTGTCTCTTCACAGCAATAGAACAGCAACTATGACATGTGCAGCCATTTATGTACTATACTTATGCTTTACACATAGAGGAAAGAATTTTTCCCCAGGAACAAATTTTCACCAAGAATGCATAGATTCAAAAGTGAAAAGCTGACAGTGCAATGAGCATTTGTGTTCATTTCTAGTTGGAAGAAAAATAACTGTATTTTAGCACTTAGGTATCTAGATTATTTTCTGAACAGTCTAACATTCAACTACTCTGTTGCATGGAGATCAATCTTTTGTCATAGGCTCTGTTCCCAGCTAAGGGCTGGGCCTATTTGCATTAAGTGAAGGGCCACAACACTAAAGAAATGCTAATAATCAAGGGGAATAGAGGATTGCTATGACCTTTAAATATCTATCAAAGTATCAAAAACTTGTAGCTATAAAAGGATAAGAAAATTAAAGTTTATGTATTAAGACCTGGAGTTTTATTTTATTGCCCCAAATTAGCCTGTTTTGTTAATAAAATTAAATAGGAACCTTTCTGACCATTCCAATGTTGTGAAATATCTATTTACAATAAGTAGCCTTGAATGTGAAGTTTTCACCATCACTTTTCCTGGACAATCTTCCTGCTCGTCACAGTCACTTTCCTCAGCAAGGTGGGCAAGTTCCCATCACCAGGTTCCTCTGATGTATGTCTGTCTCCAGAACAGCAATGGCATCAATACTCCCGTTGTCTACAATTCCATTTACGACTGATGCAAATTTACTTCCAGAATGGTCACTGCTCACTTCTTTGCTGCACTTTCATCTTTGCTGGCCAGTTATTTGGCTGATCACTTTTGTAAAATATCATATGGGTGACAGGGAGATAACAGACCATATGCTTTGCTGTAAGTGAATTAAATAACAGGTGTACAGAGAGCAACAACTGGCAGAACCGAAAAGAAGCTCACGATTGGCACAGAGCACGAAGCACGAAGCACAGTGGCTAAGAGCACCCTAACTTCTGCATGAATTATAACTCCATGCAGCTAACAATACACTGAGGTAAACTCAAATCTGCATTAGGCTGCTAGGAAATGGGTAGGATTCAACTAAATCATCACTACTAAAATCTGTGCCTATGGGAACCCTACAAGGTTCAAACTACCTACACTTGTTAGACTGGCCCAGAAAGCCTGAAAGCTCTGGAGAACCCATCTAAATTAATATCTATCTACAATGAAGCACCCAAATGCAGGCAAGTGCTTCAGATTTACTTTTCAACAATTAGGCTTCAACTGCATTTCAAAGCGACAGAGTTTTAGAAAGAGAGAGTTTTAAAGACCCCATAGTTTGATACTATAAATTACCCAGCATGTTTATTATGGATTATTTCTCCTCCTTCAATTTCTATTTGCTCATACAGCCACTTGCGGTCGCAGCGGCATTCAGCCCCACATTTGGTAGAGCCACAGGTGGGACAGGCGTAGAAGCATCCCAGGCAGTCCTCATCAAGGCAGTCACAGAGATCCATGCCACTGAAAATGAGCAGACCCTGGCTGTCGTAGACTTTACTCTTTGCTGGGATAACTTGTCTGTAAAATAAAACAGTGAGTGAGCTTTACTTCATACATATTATTTTTGGATATTTAGTTGAAATTAGTCAAAAGGCCAGAAGAGGCTGTTGAAGTCCTTGTAGAAGTTAATTCAGGGCAGGTGAGGTGGCTCAGATGGTAAGCATGCTTGATGTGCAAGCCTGGTAACTGAGTGATTCCTGAACCCAAGGCAGGAGGCAAAAACAGACTCCAGTTTTCCTGACTTTCACTCACAAACAAGCATGGGATACACATGCATCCACACACATACATACATGGATGTGCACACAACATAATTAGAAGAAAAAAGAATTCCATGAGGAAATGTCCCCCCAAATGACTTTCCTTACACAAGCTTACACAGGAACGGAATGAGTAGTTGGTAGTGACTTCCTTTACTAGTTACAAAATGGCAGTGCTTGTGAACACAGGAAACACCCTTCCCAGAGGTCTTAAACTCTAATCAATCTATTTCATGTTTCTTAATGACTTCTGGCAAATCTGGTCTAAAAATATTTTAAATCACTCAAAGAAAAAAACCTAACAGATGGAATAAGGTAAAAATGTCAATTCCAGTTAGAAACTAGCCTGACCTGTTGTAATAAATTTGTCAGCACTTTTTGGACACACTCAATTTAAGGCCATATTAAATGACTTAGTAGTTTTCATTCATTCTGTTGATTGTACTGTGTGTCTACTTTGGAACTGTGGGAAATCGAAAAGTACTCGTGGGTTCTCATAAATGCAATGAGCTTTGCGCCAGCTCTCTCCCAGGAAGAGATATATCAAGAAGAGATTATCAGTATTAATTTTGCAAACAGTAACTTGACCAAACTCTATGGTATTTCTTCAACTATTTTAACTTTCATCCCAAAACATTACATCATTCACTTCATGCTACCTTCTCAGAAGGACGCTTCTAGAATTCATATGGATGCTTTACTTTCCTGTGAGTAACAGCCAAGGCTTTTGGAAGGTTTTACATATTCAGTATACAATTTAAAATGACTGGTCAGAAAATTGAAAGAAAAAAATGCAGTGACTGCTAATGAGTCAGCAAGTTGACAAGCTACTGATTGAGAGCCAGAAGCCTACCTGTCAGAGCCAGCGCTTGAGTTCTTGGTGAGCTTCCTTTTCTCCCTTTTACCACCTTCTGGAGCAAATTCTGTTTGCTTTCCCGGGTTTGTGAATTGCAGTGACCTCAAAGCTTTAGCAGTTCTTCCCTGAATGAAAGTAAGGAAATCACAGATGGAAGTCATGACACCAAACAGTAGTATTTCACATGAACCCAATGTATCCCCACCTGGGAAGGCAGTTTGGAACATACACAAAAAGGAATGTGGGAAAATCCACACTTAGTCTATATTGCACCTTCAGTAGTGAATTCTCTGTACTGTTTTTGTTATATTAGTCTCTTGGACAGCAGGTGCTGGAGACTGGCACAATGAAGACAGCAATGGCTGCCACCACAGGGCAGCAAAAGCCATCACACAGAACTGAGGCTCCAAATGACAATTCTTTTTGTCCTTCAGAACCTCTCCCTTTTAAGAGGAAAGAAGCAATGAGGCTTCCTGTTCTGAATTGTACTGTAACATTGTTTTAAAGCTTTGGCAAAACAAACTCTGATGCTTAATGGTTTAACAATGTTATTTGAGGAGTTAAAAGTGGTCCTTGGAAATGTTTTCATACTCCCAAAGTCAAGATTAGGTGATGGGAAACTGGTCATGTAAGTACAGTGGAGATGAGGTGAAGATGTTGAAGTGACAGAATCAGCAAGCATCTATGATAACCTTCACACAGTGCTGGATCCTAGAGATAGGCCTGAGAGGAACACAATACACACAACTTGGTTTATTAATACAGCAAAAAGGAGAAAAACTGAGAAAATATGCTAGCACCAAGAATTATACATAGCACCAGTGCTTCTATAGAGAAACTGAGAAGTGCTCCTGAGGGTATAAAGACAGTTTCATGATCTCAACTTTTCTGATATATTAAATGTCTTGCATCTAGGCATGTGAACAGGAAAGAAGCATAAAATATCTCACACTTTACAATGTAAACTGTGTGCTCTTTGAGCATAGGGAACCCTAAATTTAACCTTAACTATATCCAGAACTTGGAGGCAGAAGCACTTGGAAAAGTCACAGGTATTTAAAATCTTAAACAAGAATGGGATAATTTCAAAGGGGAAAAACTGAAATTAAACACTGACTACTACTGGGCACTGTGACTCATGCCTGGGAATCCTAGATCCCCAGAGGCTGATAAAGGATCTCCGCCATGAGTCTGAGGTCAGTTTTGACCACATGGAGAGTTCCAGGCCAGTCTGCTACAGAGTAAGCCCCCATCTCAAACCAAAATAAAAATCATAAACCAGGTCTGCACAGAAAGAGACATTCTTCCTGGTGTATAGTCTCCAGTAAATGACACATCCACTTAGCGAATCCAGTATCAGAAAAGGGTCTAAGTCCCCAAGTTGGCCTGTACCAGTGTTCTAAGGGCCACTCCTAAAGTCTCCTTCCTAAGGTCTAATAGAAGTTGTAGTCATGGAGTCTTGGGCACATTATTTTCTCTTTCTAAGCCTTTGTTTACTGCTTATTCTAGACCTTGAGTGTACGGAAACATTTTGAAATGTAATTTTAACCTCAACTTTAAATCTGCTATATGCTAATGAATATAATAAAAAGTATGATTCCTTAGAGCTACTCTGCCTAGCTTAAGTCCCAAACTGTAGAAAGCACAATAACATCTATACATACATCTGCCTCGGGTTTCCGTCTCTGGCGGTCATCGGAATCAACATCCACACTTCCATTGATGATCTGGGTACATTTTGGGCAAAGCTTCCAACCAGGAACCAGCTGTCTTCCAAACTTTGCACTCAGAAACGTGGCATCATCTAAATCAATTACATGCAGATTCTTTTTGGCTAGCTTTTTGTGTATGTTAAATGGGTCACAACATGACTTTTGTAACTCCTCAAATCTGTCAATATAAATTTTTACATGATGGAAACAAATTGTATTATTGCCAGAAAGTGTCATTCCAGTCCTAAGCTGAAGTAAAAGCATGTCATTTGATGACAACTCTTGCAAAGTCTTGAAACCTGTGTTCCGAGTGTAGAAGGTTTTATGGCAGTCATGTGTGGTCCGAAGCTGAACTCCAACTGAACATGGATCCATCATCCTTGAGTCTAGCACGTTTCCCCTGTTTTATTTTGTCTAGAAATCTCTTTGGTAGGTCAACCTAGAGAAAACATTAAAGACAGATTTACACTAAAAACTGATTCGGAACTTCTTTAGAAAACAAAAGTAAAACACAACAAACAAGGATTAGGAAAACTAAAGCCAACAATAAGAATGTATTTAATCACAGAATATGAGAATACTTTCTTTCACAACTTAATGCCATCACATTACATGGCTTAAGGAGAGAAATAGAATAAACAAATATCCATGAGAAATAGTAGAAGTCCAACAAACTGCTTAGAACTAAAGGATTTAGCAAGGATCCTAGCAAAACTGCATGCTGTATATAATATACAAATGTTATGAAAGACACAAGACGTTATAGAATTCCACAAATTCAGTACCATTTCAATCAGAAGACATTGGAAATTCCACCCCATTCTGCTAGAGTTTGAAAGATGGTCTGCATGAAAGAGTAATGGGCCAAGAAAATGTGAAATAATGGCTGGTTACTAGAAAGATAATTAAAGACAGTATGGTATTGCTGTCATATAGACAGACACACAAACAGACTGGGGTTTGTTGTATGACGTGGTACTATAAATAGATGGGCATTAAAAAATCAAAGTGTAAAGGATTATTGACTAACATAGAAAAGGACAAAGTTAGATCTCTTCTGAATGAACAAACACTGAATGAAACGAAGAATCACACATGCAAAGCTTAAACATTAAAATCTTTACAAGAAAATATAGAAGGCTGTGAGCCCATTGCAGTATGACTTCTTCCTCTGGGCACAGCATAATCACCCCATGGCCATCTTGGAATGGAGATTACTTTGGTTTCGTAACCATAGCAACTAACTGACACAGTGATACTAGAACAGCAAAGGAAAACACTTCACAGGAAGGGAATGGTTAACTGAAAGAAGGAATCAAGGATATAGTCTCCAAGTGGTTGTCATTCATCATGGAGTGAACCTCTGAAATATGTAGCTGTTGCAGGGTTATCCACATTCCTACAAATAACCTCATCAATATTCTATAACATAAGCCAACCCTGGCTCAAAGGGTACTTTGGTGGGTCATTAATTTTTGGTTGGTGTCCCACCTGTAGTAAACAGATGTCTCCCCAGGGAAAATTAATGAAACAAACTGTAAGGTCTTCTGTAGGAGATTATGAGGGCCTGAAATCAGCTGAACAGGCAGGGAACACACTGTAGGCCTTGAGAAAGCATGTGTGGGATGAGACTGACAGCGATTCACAATGGCAGTTACTGTCATAACACCCGGTGGGGGATCTGGATGAAAGAATGGGGTACAGGCTGGGCATTGGTGGTGCACGCCTTTAATCCCAGCACTCTGGAGGCAGAGGCAGGCAGATCTCTGCAAGTTCGAGGCCAGCTTGGTCTCCAGAGCGAGTGCCAGGATAGGCACCAAAGCTGCACAGAGAAACTGTCTGAAAAACCAAACCAAACCAAACCAAACAAACAAACAAACAAAAAAACCCCCAAAACAATGGCCTAGAACAGGAAACTCAAGAGTATTCTGCTGGATCTCCCTGAATTAGACATAAGGCCCTGGGTTCAGTTCCCAGTACTGTATTAAAGGGAGCACTCCTTTAATGCAGTATTGGAGAGAGGCAGAATGATCAGAAATTCAAAGTCATCCTCAACTACTACGAAACCCCAGGAGGCCAGTCTGGGCTAGAGACTTTCTCAAAAGAGGGAAAAATGTTATCTTGGAAGTCACAAGTTTCTATTTAGAAATCCCAGCTCCTAGATTTTATGATAAAGCACATGGAAGACCTTGGCCGATTCCATGGCAGGCGAGTGTGACCTAGGCGGAGGGACAAACATGCCTGCCAGGCAGACAAAGCTTAAGTGAGAAGTTTTATTAGAAAAGGGGTGGGGGGAGAGATAGGTACAGAGACAAAAGAGGACAGAAGAAAGGGAGATAGGAAAAGTCCTGTCTGTCCCAGGGGAACATTGGGAAAGAGAGTAGAAAGAGAGAGAAGAGAGAGTGTGTAAATGGATGCAGATCTTTCTTTTAAAGGGTTCCTTTGCACCTAGGCTGACCAGGGTATTGCCTGAGTGCACTTTGCCAGGTGACAGGGGCAGGCCAGCATAATGCCTGAATCCTTACACTAGAGTACTATAATTTCTGATGGGTCAGAAGTATGTAGGTGTTTTCCTGTACATGGGGGCAATGCTAGACAGTGAAGCACAGGATGCCCTGGACCTGGACTAACAATTATGAGCTGCTATGGTGCTGGGGACTCAACCTAAGTCTTCTGAAAGAGCAGCCATCTCTCCAGTCCCTGTCACCCTTAGTTTTAAAGTAAGGATCTCGCTGGTGTCACTGTTGAAGAGTTGTCTACAGTTACCAGATACAGAATTATCAGCCAAGTTTGTCAGTTTGTGCTGCTGATAACGGATTTACAAGATTTTATTTTCATGTTGCTAACAAGTTAATCCCATCTGTCTGAAACTAGTATCTAACTAAGCAATCCTGTACCTTTATCTGCTAAATTTGGCAACTCTTGATTTCAGAACCTTTGCTAAAATTGTCTTTTACAAGAACTGCTTGGTTTAAATGTCATACCTGAGGGTTGCTGTTTCTTTGTCAGACAAGGCTGTTGGTGACAGACAGATGGCAGTGATAGCTATATAAGCATAAGGACCCAGGTGTTATCCCTAGAACCCACAAAAGCAGAAAACCCAGGTGCTCTGATGCAATCTGTAATCATGGTACTGGGGAAATGGAGATGGGAGGATCCCTGGGGCTTGTTGACCAGCTAATCTAGCTGAAGCAGAGCATCCAAGCCAGAGCAAAGAGACTCAAAACAGAGAATTGAGAAAGGCATTCAAAATCAACCTCTGGTCTCCGTGTACACAAGCCCACAACCCCCACGATCTAATCAAACTGCTGCAGTAAAACTGTAATCTATAAACATCAAAATTTTATAGTTGGTGACCTTCCAACACCATTTACTTGGGTAAACCATCAGTGTAAAAGTGCACATGTTCGAGGTCAAGCCAGCCATCCCATCTACTGTCAGAGTAGGCTAGCACAGACCTTTAGATAGTCATCCATCTTGAGTGGTCACATTCTGCCTTCTAAAGCTCACACATGGGTTGTTCCTCCCCTGCTCCATCCCTCATTCCAGCTCTTTCTGTCCTCCTCTAGGGTAAAGTTCTGCCCCACAGTCCTTTGGATCCACCACCAACTGCTTCCTTACTCATTTGGTTTGTGTGCTGGGAACAAGGCCTACAACTACTGAGTCATTTCTTTAACAGCTTCATGCTGTTCTGTTAACCTGCAAGGCTGTTCTGTTTTTCCAGGATACTGACACAACTCCCTTAACTAAGGGTCAGAAATATGGGATCGGCCCCTCCCCTCTTTACTAGTAGCTCTCTGGTTGTCCCGGAACTCAGGAGAACCACCTGCCTCAGCCTCCCAAGTGCTGGGATTAAAAGTGAGTGTCATTATGCCAGCACAGAAACACTATTATTTACTGCCTGTGTATTCTCAGACCCAGCAGAAAACAAAATCACACCATAGGATGGAATCTGTAGTAAACAGGTGGTGATGTTCCATGGAGTTCTCTAAGTCACTTAATACTATGCCAGTCTGGCGTCCATACCTTTGTTTCACCATGAACATCTTACCAACGAAACATCTTTTCATCACTTAAACTTATTTCTATCCAGTTACTTGGTTGATAAATGCAAACCTTTACCATTTATACTTGTGTGACAGTAATGACTTATCACCCTTTCCCTTCAGCAGATAATTAGAAAAAGACTGGTTGCCAGGTATTGGTGATGCATGCCTTTAGTCCCAGCACTCAGAAGGCAGAGGCAAGCAGATCTGTGAGTTCCAGACCAGCCTGGGCTACAAGAGCTAGTTCTAGGATAGCCTCCAAAGCCACAAAGAAACCCTGTCTCGAAAAACCAAAAAAAAAAAAAAAAAAAAGAAAGAATGAATGAAAACGGCTGGTGGCCCATGCCTTCAATCTCTTCAGTCCTTTGGAGGCCAATCTCTAACTCTAGGCCAGTTTGGTCTACAAAGTGAGTTGTTTCAGGAAGGCATAGAAAACATCTCAAAAAAACAAAAAACCACACAATAAGCAAATAGGAAAAATCAGTATATTCCAGGCATTCCTTCTGAGTATATAGAATACCCCATGCAAGAGAATAGTTTCAGCTGGACGGTGGTTGTACATGCCTTTAATGCCAGCACTCCAGAGGCAGAGTTCAAGGTCAGCCTCATCTACAAAGTGAGTTCCAGGTCAGCCAGGGCTGTTTCAGAAAGAAACTCTGCCTCAAAAAAAAAAAAAAAAAAAAAAAAAAAAAAAAAAACCACACACACACACAAAAGAGAAAAACTTTCTAGTAACAAGTCTGTAACAAACACCACTCCCACCCCCTCTAAAACGTTTTTTTTTTTGCTAATTTTAAGGAAAATTTCCTATAGTTCTAAAAAAAACCCAAGTGTTCAAATACTTTCAAAACTATACCTAGACATTCTTGACAAATACTAACACTGAAGACATTATACTTTAATTCCTGAATGGATCAGTGGATCTGCAGGCCCTTCTCAGGATACATGTGGTATTGTGTTATATGTTATCTATTTTGTTTTCCCAAAAATACCTCTGACAAGTATTTAACTAAACCCCTTGCTCCAGGTTTTTTCTTTTTCTGGTTTTTCGAGACAGTGTTTCTCTATGTAGCTCTGGAGCCTATTCTAGCACTCGCTCTGGAGACCAGGCTGGCCTCGAACTCATAGAGATCCGCCTGCCTCTGCCTCCCTGGTGCTGGGATTAAAGGCGTGTGCCACCAACGCTCGGCGTTTTTTGTTTTTTTCATTTTAAACAGTCATTAACTGAATCCCTGGGGATTTCATTCAAGAGGAAGCTCGGGATTTCCAGCGTCTGTTTTGTTTATTCATTTATGATTATTTTATTGAACTGCTCTTCCTCACTGGAAAAAATATACTTCTTAACCCAACTTTAAGATGGTCCATCAAGTTTGGCCAATCACTGGCCACCTCCATAAAACCACCTCAGAGTAAGCCTGCTGTAGGGTTACATGTTCTCCAACTACTTCCAGATAAAGCTGCCTGCTTGCTCAAAGCAGTTCTTCCCATCATCACCTCATAGGGTAAAGGCAGGCAGGCACTATATAGTGTGTGGTTTCCAACCCACGGAAAAGGGTGACTTCAGAAACACCACACCTTGTTACTTGTTAGTCCCACCCCAAGTCTGTATGGGTCTCAAGCACCAATGCACAGAATGATGCAAAACATCAACAAGTCCAGCAAACACCTATCATGTACACGATACTAGGGTAGAAATTAAACAAAAACCCAACCCACTAAAATGCTTAACCAAATCTCATGCCCAGGGTTGAAAAGATTGTGAATTTAAAACTTAACAAGGGGGCTGGTAAAGAGCACCGGCTGCTCTTCCAGAAAACCCGAGTTCAATTCCCAGCACCCACATGGTGGCTTACAACCTTCTGTAACTCCAGTTCCAGGGGAAATCAGATGCCCTGTTCTGACCTCCCTCGGTAGCAGGCATACATTGGACACAGACAAAAATGCAAGCAAAACACCCATACATATAAAAACGTAGTTTTAAAAACTTGTTTTTCAAAAGTCAGGCAAGGTGTGGTACGCCTTTGATTCCAGCACTTGGAAGGCAGAGGCAGAAGGATTTCTTTGAGTTCGAAGCCAGCCTGGTCTACACAAAGACTGCCGGGACAGCCAGAGCTACACAGAAAAGCTGTCTCGAAAAACAAACAAAACAAACCAACCAAACTTAATGAGTCAGGCCTGGATACCGGTCTCTGTAATCCGAGCTACTCAGGTGGCTGATAGGGCTGGAGGATAGTTTAGGCAGTTCAGTCAGAGCAAGTCCCCAGATTGATGAGGCTAAGGGTGGGGGGTAGGGGAGGTAGCAGTTTAGCAGTGAAGCCCAGCAGCTTGCGCGAGGGCCCCGGTGCATTTCCTACTGCAAGCTACAAAACTGCGGGGGGGGGGGGGCCGGGGGGGGGGCGGGCCGCGGGGGGGGGGGCTCCCCCCCCCCAAAAGCCGCAAGCCCCCTCCGCATGCAGGCCTCCCCTCCCGACCCTCCTCCGGGTACCCCGAGGCCCCTCCGCAGCGTTCACTCACAGCGGTGCAGCCGTCCACCTGAGCTGCCACGGCTCTCCGCTGGTCTCCGCAAGCACCGTACCTCCACAGGCCAGACTCCGCGCTCCACACAGCCGCCTGACGCGCGCTGACACCGAGAGGACGACGAGTGCGCCTAGAGAGGCCGCGTGCACTATAAAGACGAGCCGGGGACTGCCTAGAGCGGAAGCCAGTGCGGCCTCCGCCGGAGGCGGAAGGGTTGGACTCGGGGAGGAGGGGCTGACTCAATCCAAAGCAATAGTTGCTTCAGATGCTCTCCCAGGGGTGCTTCCGCCCTCCCCCGGGGTTCCTCACGGAGATTCTTAACTTCGTTTGCAAATCTGTTCTGTACAGGAGAGCAAATTTAGGCACCCACGTACCCCCTCACGCTGGAAGAGAGTGAGTTAAAAGCAACTCAGGAACGGACACTTTAAAGTCTCGCGTTTTATTTTTGTTTCATTCCAACTAAATACATTTTAAAACTCACCCGGCTTGGAGTTTGTGGCACACGCCATTAATCCCAGCTCTTGGGAGGCAGAGGCAGGAGGATCTCTGTGAGTTCGAGGCCAGCCTGGTCTACAGAGTGAGTGCCAGGAGAGGCTCTTAAAGCTACAAGAGAAATCCTGTCTCGAAAAACCAAAAACAAAACCCTTCCTTGTACACTATGAAAATAAGGTAGCTCCTTGAGTAAAAGATAGGCCCCAGGAATTTAACCTTTACATTTTTGGGGCAGAGGGGAGGAAAAAAAAACCCTGAAGCTTTGTGGTTGTTGTTTGAAAGTGTAGTTTCTTTGTTTTGAGACGGTTTCAGTCACGTAGTTGAAGCTAGAGCCACTGTGAATGCAATGATTTATTTTGAGATCTTCATACATGCTTATGACTTGTTTGGATCAACTCCACCCCCAGTCATGCCATCTAGGTATGTAAGAATGGATCCATTGCCTTTGCCAGTTAAAGAATTAAAGCGTGCACGCGAAGGTTGGGGGAGCTTAACCAGAAATCTTGGGGCGTCCCTGCAGAGGCAACATGATACCTTGGAAGTTGAGTTCATTCCTGGAGATCTTGGTTTTATTAGTAAAGACTCAAACAGAAGCTCAAGGATACTTTATTAGAGTGTAAAAAGAAAAACCCAGAGCAGGCAAATTGTTAAACTCAAAAGTTGCCCCAAGGATGAATATAGAGAAGATAATCAGGAAGGGTGGACACTATAGGCAGACAGCCTAAGTAAGGGTAGAAGGGTAGAGATTCAGAAAAAGAGGAAGTCCAGCCAGGTGGTGGCAGGCCTTTAATCCCAGCACTCAGGAGGCAGAGGCAGGTGGTTCTCTTAGTTCAAGGCCAGCCTGGTCTACAGAGCGAGTTCCAGGACTGGCTCCATAGCTACCGAAAAACCCTGTCTGAAAAAAACAAACAAAAAGAGTTAGGGAGTCCAAAGCTAAATTTACAAGGCATACTTAAGCTCTGGCCAGCATCTGAAGCAAAAAGTTGCAAGAAAAGTACAATTACGAGGTTTTGAGTTAGGTCTCAGAAATTTAGGCAGACCCAGCCAGATCAGCCAAACCTGATCAAAGGTCTGCTCTTAGGGACTGCACAAAGAGCTTGGGATTCTTGGAAGGAAAGTACATCATCTTAAACTGAATCTGCCTTCACAGTAGAGGTCACCTAGCCAGGTTCCTGCCTGGTTGGATTAGCCCTCAAGGACATGTTACACCTAGACACAGATTCAACTCCTTTGCTCCAACTCCTCCCAAATCCTCTCACCATTTCTTCCTCCCAAAGTCAGAGAAAGAGAGAGAGAGACCATTATGTGCTGTCAGTATTTTCTGTGTGGGGCTACTCATGGAGGAATTTAAGGAGTTGTAGCCCAGAAGAAAATGGACTCTTCCCCAGTAGCCATCCACTGCCCCCAACTCCGCAGCTGACAGTGCGACTTCATGGGATCCTCCCTGTTATGTCCAGAGCATCCCCTCAAAATGGCGGTGCTGGTGACATTGTCCTAAACAGAAGGATTCTGGCCAGGTAAACAGAAGCCTAAAGTAGGATTCTGTTTAACCAGGAACCTCCCTTAATCCTCCAGGAGCCTCCCTAACCTTGCCCCAAAGGTCAGCTACCAAGGGCAAGGGTGTGGATTGCTTGCCTGCTAGTTTTTACCCCCCCACCCCCTCCCACCCCCCC